CATGAACAAGGTATGTGTTTTCACTTTTTATATCTTCCTCTATTTCTTTTTTCAATGACCTGTTGTTTTCTGAAAATAGGTCTTTTATTTCTTTGGTTAAGTTTATTCCTAAATGTCTTAATTTTTTTGCTGCTATGATAAATGGGATTGTTTTTTTAGTTTCTCTTTCTGTGAGTTCATCATTGGTGTATAAGAATGCCATTGAGCCCTGGCCGGTTTGGCTCAGCGGTTAGAGCGTCGGCCTGCGGTCCTGAGAGACCCGGGTTCGATTCCCGCTAAGGGCACATACCTCGGTTGCAGTTTGTCTCCAGCCTTGGTCGGTTGTGCGGGTGGCAGCCACTCGATGTGTTCCTTTCACATCGATGTTTCTCTCTCTCTCTCTGTTCCTCTCTCTCCCTCCCACTCTACCTGAACAAAAAATGGAAAAATGTCCTCGGGTGAGGATAAAAAAAAAAAAAAAAGAATGCCATCGATTTCTTGACGTTAATTTTGTATCCTGCTACTTTGCCAAATTCATTTATTAAGTCTAGTAGATTTTTGATGGAGCCTTTGGGGTTTTCTACATATAGCATCATGTCATCTGTGAATAATGACAGTTTCACTTCCTCCTTTCCAATTTGGATCCCTTTTATTTTTCCTTCCTGTCCGATTGCTGTGGCTAAGACTTCCAGTACTATGTTTAATAAGAGTGCCAAAAGTGGGCACCCTTATCTTCTTCCTGTTCTTAAGGGAAATGCTTTTAATTTTTGCCCATTGAGTATGATGTTGGCTATAGGTCTTTCATATATGGCCTTTATTATGTCAAGATATGATCCCTCTATTCCCACACTGCTGAGCGTTTTTATCAGAAATGGGTTCTGGATTTGGTCGAATGCTTTTTCAGCGTCTATTGATATGATTATGTAATTTTTATCTTTCATTTTGTTTATGTGATGTATCACATTTATTAATTTGTGACTATTGTACCAGCTTTGCATCCCTGGGAGGAATCCCACTTAGTCATGGTGAATACTTTTTTTGATGTATTGCTGGATTCAATTTGCAAGTATTTTGTTCAGGATTTTGGCATCTATGTTCATCAGGGATATTGGTGTGTAGTTTTCTTTCCTTGTAGTGTTTTTTTCTGGTTTTAGAATTAGAATTATGCTGGCCTCATTAAACGAGTTTGGAAGTCTTCCTTCTTCTTGAATTTTTTGAAATAGTTTGAGGAGAATGGGTATTAGTTCTTCTTTGAATGTTCGGTAAAATTCCCCCGTGAAGCCTTCCGGGCCTGAGCTTTTGTTTGCTGGGAGAGTCTTAATTACATCTTCAATTTCTTTTGTTGTTATTGGTCTGTTCAAGTTTTCTATTTCTTTCCAGTACAGTTTTTGGACACTATGTTTTTCTAGAAATTTGTCCATTTCACTTAGATTGTCAAATTTGTTGCCGCGTGATTGTTCATAATATTTGTTGACTATTCTTTGTATTTCTGTGGTGTCAGTTATTATTGGTCCTGTTTCATTTCTGATTTTGTATATTTGGGTCGCTCTCTTTGTTTCTTGGTGAGTCTAGCTAAGGGTCCATCAATTTTGTTTATCTTTTCAAAGAACCAGCTCTTTGTTTTATTGATCCTTTAAATTGTTTTTTTGGTCTCTATGTCATTTATTTCTGCTCTGATCTATACTATTTCCTTCCTTCTACTTGCTCTGGGGTTTTCTTTTTGTTTGCTTTCTAGTTCTTTAAGTTGTGAGGTTAGATAGTCTATTAGAACTATTTCTTGCTTCTTGATGTAGGCCTGTAGTGCTATGAACTTCCCTCTCAGAACTGCTTTCACTGCATCCCATTGATTTTGTGGCGTTGTGTGTTCATTTTTATTGGTTTTCCAGGAATTTTTAAATTTCTTCCTTGATCTCCATGGTAACCCATTCATTGTTCTATAACATGCTATTTAGCCTCCATGTGTTCAAATGTCTTTGCATGTTCTTGTTGCAATTGATTTCTAGTTGCATGCCATTGTAATCTGAGAAGATGCTTGATACTTAAATCTTCTTGAACTTATAGAGACTTAGTTTGTGCCCTAACATGTGGTCGGTCTTTGAGAATGTTCCATGTGCACTTGAGAAGAATGTGAATTCTGTAGTTTTGGGGTGTAATTCTCTGTAGACATCTATTAAATCCATTTGGTCTAGTGCTTCATTTAGAGTCTGTGTTTCCTTGTTAATTTTTTGTCTAGAAAATCTATCCAGTGATGTCAGCGGGGTATTGAAGTCCCCTGCTGTGATTGTATTGCTGTTGATTTCTCCTTTGAAGTCCTCCAAAAGATATTTAATATATGTTGGTGCTCCTGTATTGGGTGCATATGTTTACCAAGGTTATATCTTCCTGTTGGATAGATCCTTTCAATATTATGTAGTGGCCTTCCTTGTCTCTAGTTATGGTCTTCATTTTGAAATTGATTTTATCAGATATGAATATTGCTACCCCAGTTTTTTTTGCTTTCCATTTGCTTGAAAGATTTTTTTCCATCCCTTCACTTTCAGCCTATGTGAGTCTTTTGTTGTGAAGTGAGTCTCTTGTAAACAACATATATGTGAGTCATACTTTCTTATCCAGTCAGCTACTCTGTGTCTTTTTATTAGAGCATTCAAACCATTCACATTTAAGGTGATTATTGATATTTACTTATTTATTGCCATTTAGTGTGATTCTATTTTTGTTTCTATTTCTTCTACTAATTACAGCAGTCCTTTTAGCATATCTTGCAGCGCTGGTTTAGTGTTAATATATTCCCTTAGCCTTTTTTTGTCTGGGAAGCTCTTTATTTGACCTTCTATTTTGAATGATAGCCTTGCTGGAAGGAATAGTCTTAGATTCAGATTCTTGTTTTTCATGACCTTGATTATTTCATGCCACTCCCTTCTGGCCTGTAGTGTTTCTGTTGAGAAGTCAGCTGAGAGCATAATGGGGATTCCTTTGTAGGTAACCTGTTGCTTATCTCTTGCTCACTTTAAAATTTTCTTTGTTGTTTCCAGTCAAGATGGCGGCGTAGGTAAACGCGGTATCGCATCCTCCCACAACCACACCAAAGTTAAAACTAAACTACAGAACAACCATTATTCAAAACTGCCTGAAATTGAGCTGAATGGAAGTCCTACAACTACAGAATTAAAGAAGCTGTATTGGGACTGGTAGGAGGGGCGGAGGCGGAAGGGCTGGTCCCACACCCATGTGTGGCAGATAAAAATCAGGAGGACACCTTGGCTGGGAAGGTCCTCCTCAAAGACTGAGGGGTCCCCATCCCACACGAGATGTCCCGCTCAGGGTTCCAGTGCCAGGAAGAGAAGTCCCCATAACTTCTGGCTGGAAAAACTAGCGAGAACTAAGGCTAAGGGAGGCTGAAACGGCTGGAGCCCCAGTCAGCTCCTTAAAGGGCCCGCACATGGACTTATCCTCTCCCTCTAAGCTTGGAGGGGAGGCAGCTTGAGGGGCACCAGAAACATACAAGGAAGAACTGAGCTGTTTAGCACTGAAGCGAGGGCTGGAAAGGGGGCTTTCTCTGGGACAAACATGCTGTTAGAGGCCTTTGTTCCTTTGGTGAGCCCTTCCCTGGGGCAGCAGACAGCTGCCATATCTGGGATTCCAGCAACCTGGCTCACACTGGTAGCCCTGCCCTGGTGATTCCCTGAGGCCCCGCCCTGCCCCACCCAACTTTCAGGCCCATCCAAGTTGTCGTCAGTTGCTTAACCATAGGACTGGCCTGTCTTGGATCCTGCTTCAGGTTTTCCTAAGTTCTTTCAAACAAGCAGCATCTGGTCTCAGCTAGCCCCATACCTCTTGTTAAGTAATACACAGAAACAAACACAGGGAGGCAGCAAAATGAGGAGACAAAGAAACAGGTCCCAAATGAAAGAACAGAACAAAACCCCAAGAAAAGAACAAAGTGAAATGGAGATAAGCAACCTAACAGATGCTGAGTTCAAAATACTGCTTATAAGGATGCTCAGTGAACTTAGTGAGGGCCTCAAGAGCATAAAAAAGGACCAGTCAGAAATGATGGAAGCACAGTCAGAAATGAAGGAGGCATTAACTGAAATAAAGAATAATTTACACAGATTCAATAGTAGAGTACATAAATCCAAGAAGCAAACCATTGATTTGGAATATAAGGAAGAAAAAACACCCAATCAGAACAGCAAGAATAAAAAGAATCCAAAAAACAGGATAGTGTAAGGAGCCTCTGGCACACTTCAAGCGTGCCAACATTCGCATCTTGGGGATGCCACAAGGAAAAGTTAAAGAACAATAAATTAAAAATCTGTTTGAAACAATAATGGCAGAAAACTTTCCTAACTTGGTGAAGGAAACAGACATACAAGTCCAGGAAGCACAGAGTGTCCCAAACAAGATGAACCCCAAGAGGCTACTATGGGGAATGGTGCTGGGCTCCGGGCTATCTGTGGCTTCCCCAACCAGCACCTTGGGAGCTCTACCACTGTGCACCAGTCTGTGTTGACACAGTGTCTACTGGTCCGATGGTGCCTGGTGCGCTGGTGGCTCAGGTTGCTGGGCCCTAGCTGCTCCCACTGCCTCCTCCCAGGGAAGATCTGGGCTCTTCCAAAATGGTGGGACCTCCCCGCAGTGCAGGGAGAAGTGCCCTGAAGGGCCGCTTACCGTGGTAGCCGGCTGCTCCGTCCACAGCACAGGAACCTTCTGCTCCACGGCTCTGCACTGCCAGGGTTTGGTCGTCCACCTTCATGTCCACTCACACTCTCTCACACACTCGCTCACTCTCTCACACACTCACCCTCCCTCCGGTCCTGCCTGCTGCCCTCTTTCCACTCCTTCTTAAAAGGCCCTCTTATTTAACTCTCCTCAGTTACCAGGTAACGGGTGCTTGTCAGAGTCAGAAGTGTGAATGAATCTGCTCCTTTAGCAGGAGGCCTAATAACTGGCCCTTAAGGAAAGTTTTGGAATTTCAAATAGCACAGAAACAAGATCAACAAAGCAGAAAAAGTCTGTACCTCATGGCGCCACAGATAGCAAGAGCAGGTTCTGGTGGGGAAGAGGCTGCTCTGAAACTTGGACCACAGAGTTCTAAGGCTTCTAAGGTAAACAAGGTGTTTATATATGGGAGATGCACCTAGCCGATTTGGCACACCCTGAAGGCCCAATAGAATTGGCAGGTCTCCATCTTGGTGAAGATGCAACTCAGAGAGGGCTATCTCTGCTTGATTACAGTACATGCTCGGCTTTGGCAATTGAGAGGCTGTTACTGAGAAGCAGTTTTGATATGCAAATTCCCTACAGGGGTCAGTGTGGCCTAGGGCACAGAGGACACCTGGACCTTATGATGACTTCAGTGTTGTGGAAAGATGGATAGCGGACGGAGATGTAGGTTTTTGTACAACATGTCAAATTCTTGTCTAATTTGTAACTATCAACAAAGTACCCAGTGATGTGATTCCAGGAAGATTTGCAATGGACTAGGGTCAGTGGCTTATGCCTAAGGAAATAATCCAGAGAGCCACTGTTAATTTGTGGGTATTCAGAGGTGCCTCATGTCGTGACTCTGACTCTGCAGCTGCTGAGGTGGGGTGCTCTGCTGGAAGCTTCGCCCAGGGCAACCTTGATAATCCCACCTTGGGTCTCAAGGCAGGGAGCCTGGCAGCAGACATCCAGCCTTTCCCAAGGGGGCACCCACTGTGTACGGGAGAAGAGATTTTAAGTGGGAGGGGTCACTTCCAGCTAGCTATCCCTTACTAGTCCTGTTCAGATGGAAAGCTGTTAGCAGGCTAATTGAGTTTTCAGGTGAAAATGCATCTCTTCTGCAAGGCATCAGTGCTACCCCTACTCTGAAAGAAAGGAATGGAAATGTAAACAAATTCTGAAATGAATGTCAGCAGGGCTGTTTGCACTCACAGCAGTATTGCTTTGGATTTTTTTGTGCATAAAATCATCGCTTAGTGACTGTGAGTCAGAGAAACAGAGCAAGTGTTTACCACGTGATCACTATGCACTTGGCAGCAGTTCTGCTTCTGTGGGACTCTGGCTCAGCCGATTAGACATTCAGAATCTTGTCCAGTGTGTCTTTGGCATAAACAGAGCCATGAACCACACAGGACAGGGCAGAGAAAAGGAGGGAGGAAACAGCCAACTTAGTGTGGAAATGTGTCTCTGTGTGTGTTTACAAATAGAAAAGAACAATGGAAACTAGAGAGAGAAAAAATGATTTTTAATAGATAGAGTTCCTGCCCAAAGAAATGAAACTTGAGCACTGAACTATGAGTTCAACATCAGAATTCAAGGACCAGCTCCGTGTTTGACTGATAAGCTGGGAGAATTTGATTGAATGTCAGCTCGGTTAGTTGCCTTATCAGTTAAATCGATAGGTTGGCCTTGGACAGTAATTGCAACCCTGACTGCAAACTAGACAATTCCCTGTGAAACTTGAAATATATATATGCCTGAGCTAATCTGAGTGCAATGAATCAGAATCTCTGGGAGTGAGGCCCAAATATCAGAATTATCAGTAATCAACAACAACAACATTGAAAAATACACCAAGGTAATTTTAAGCCATGTGCAATCATGGCTTAAAACTACTGAGCTAGATTTTTGCTACTCAGAGTGTGGTCTGCGCACCAGCAGCAATAACATCAACTAAAGTTTATTAGAAGTGCAGAATCTCAGACCCCTCTATGCACCTACTAAATTAGAGTCTTCCCTTTAACAAGAAGTTCAGGTGATTTTCCAGTATGTTAAAGTTTGAGAGGTACTTTCTTAGATGATTCCTAGTCCCTTTCAGGTTTAAATGCTATGGAGGATGGACAGGGACTCATTCCTACTACATACCTATCTTTCTATGAGGCTATAAATCAGTAACTTCATTTCTCTGTGTCTGGTGTCCCTATATGCACCTTAAAAATGCACACAATATAATGAAGGAACATAGATCAAAATGTTTTGACCTCTACACGCAGTGTCTGGTGTTTGCTTTTGAGATAACTCATGTTTGCAAACATGTGCCAATCATCCACAGAGAAAATACTCAGGCACCAAGAACTATTCTGCTCTGAAAGTGTAAGCAATTTTCATACCATCTCAGGGATCCTAGTGGCTATCTGTGGCCCATCATGATTTACATCTCTGACGGACTCCCATGTATTCCAGTTCTAACTGAATTTTCATGATTTCATGATTACTGCTTAAGATTCCTTATCTGTAAGCAGGCCATAGGCTGAGGCTATGTCGAGATCCTGAAGTGGCTGTTGACTGACGTGCAAAGGTGCTTGGTCTTTCATGGACACCCTCAGCCTCCAGCTCAGCCAGTCTCTCTATATTGAGGTCCAAGGTGGGTCCCCCTGGGGCAGGGGGTGGGGTAGGGGGAGACTTGGCTAATCTCTGCTGGGGCTGGTCATTACTCTAGAAGAGTGATTCTCAACAAGAAGTGACTTTTGCCCCCCGCCCCCAGAGACTCTGGCAATGTCTGCAGGCATTTTTTTTTGTCACAACTAGAGATGGGATGCTACAGATATCTAGGGGGTAGAGGCCAGGGCTTCTGCTAACCATCCTACAATGCACAGAACAGCCCCACTACAGAGAATTATCTGGCCCCAAATGGCAATAGTGCCAAGACTGAGAAATACAAATTTGTTCTGAAAAAACTTTCCTCAGGGATGGAAGTGTTCTAACTCTGCTGTCTGGAGTGGTAGCCGCCAGCCACAAGCTACTACTGAGTGCTTGAAATGAAAGTAATGGGTCTGGGAAATTCATTTTTAGATTGTAATTAATTTAAATACCTAAGTAGTAACTATAGGATTGAATAGCACAGCTTCAGATAAAGGTCTGCACTGAAATGCTTGGCTTACTCCACCCACCTTGATGGAAACCAACAGGCAACTTGGGAGACATCAATTTCTTGAGCATGTGACGTTTACATCCCATGCAGTTCATTAAGAAACTGCCCATATCTTCTGGGCACTGTGATCTTTGGCTGTATGCAGGGAAATATATGTACATATTCCTGCTTAATAGGAGGCTAGTAATGTCATTTTCTCTGCCATTTCTTCCATGTGTATATTCCAATGAGTATGTAGCTACTTAAAAAGCAACAACAAAAAACCACCTCCAGGATCTGTGTGCTTGTGTCTAAATACTTCATATTGTTCCAGGTAGAACTTGCTTAGAAGCAACAGATGATGGCAATAGACAGCACAGGCAGCTTATTTTACTGGTTAATAAGCTTTATCTATTGCCCTATGGCTTCTTCTTTAACCTCCCTCCGTCAGCTTTTTCATAAACATTTTGAAGCTTCTTGACAAAGATATTGTAAGCATACCAGGTTTCAGGACTCAGCTCGGGGCCCAGCTCTTAGGGTTAGGGGGAGCTTCTGGGGTAGATCATCCAGCTAGTTCTTTGGGATTGCCAACAACCTGGGCTGTTGGGCTTCTCTTCCAGAACTTTATTGAAACACATCTTAACCCTTTTATTGCACTTTTCTCCACATTATTATTCTGCAAATTCTTTCTCATGAGTAATCTCTAGATACTGGATTCTCTGAAACCTATTGCAAAACTTTCTGCCTTGGCTATGAGCGTCTGTGCTTCTGAGATCATGTCAGATGTAGGAGAACCAAAATCCAACACTCCTCCATGATAAAAACTCTCAGAAAACTGGGAACAGAGGGAAACTTCCTCAACTTGACAACGAACACCTACACAAAGCCTGTAGCTAGCATCATATTTAGTCACAATTATACTTAATAATACGAAGGTAGATGCTTTTCCTCTAAGGCCAGGAACAAAGGAAGGATGTCCCCTCTCACCAGTTGTATCAATACTATACTAGAATTCCTGGCTAATGCAGAAAGACTGAAGAAAAAATAGAAGGTATACAAATTGGGAAGAAAGAAATAAAACTGTCTTTGAAGATGACGTGATTTCTATATAGAAATTCTCAAGGAGTCATAAACACACTCTTAGACTTAATATGCAACTATAGTAAAATAATAGGTTACAAGGTAATTATACAAAAGTCAACGACTATTGTATACACCAGCAATGAACAATCAGAATTTGAAATTCAAAACAGAATATATTTATATTAGCACCAAAAAAAACCAAGAGCCACTTAGGGATGGATAAATCTGATAACATATATACAAGGTCTACATGGGAAAAAGTAGAACACTCTGATGAAGGAAATCAAAGATCTAGTTCAATATTCATGACAAGAAGAGTCAGTATGGTTAAGATGCCAACTCTTGCCCTGGCCAGTTTGGCTCAGCGGTTAGAGCGTCGGCCTGCGGTCCGCAGAGACCCGGGTTCGGTTCCCGCTAAGGGCACGTACTTCGGTTGCAGTTTGTCCCCGGCCCTGGTTGGTCGTGCGGGTGGCAGCCACTCGATGTGTCCCTTCACGTCGATGTTTCTCTCTCTCTCCCTTCCTCTCTCTCCCTCCCAATCTATCTGTACAAAAAATGAAAAAATATCCTCGGGTTAGTATAAAAAAAAAAAAAAAAAAAAAAAAAAAAGATGCCAACTCTTCCCAAAATGATTTATATATTAGAAAAAATGCCAATCAAAATCTTAGCATATTATTCTGTGGATATCAACAAATGAATTCTAAAGTTTTTATAGAAAGACAAAAGACCTAGAATAGCCAACACAGTTAAAAGAAGAACAAAGTTGGAGGTCTGACACTAAACTACTTCAAGACTGACTATGGAGCTACAGTGATCAAGATAGTGTAATATTAGTCAAAGAGGAAACAAATGGATCAAGGGAACAGAATAGAGAGCCCAGAAATAGACCTACTCAAATATAGGCAACTGATCTCTGACAAAGGGACAAAATAATTCAATGAAGAAAGGATAATCTTTTTAATAGTGCTGGAACAACAAAACATTCACACACAAAAACAAAACAAAACAAGATTCTAGACATAACCCTTACACCGTTCACAAAAATGAACTCAAAATGGATCATAGACCTAAATATAAATGCAAAGATATTAAGTGATAACATAAAATAGAATCAAAGTGACCTTGGATTTAGCTATAGGATTTTAGATATAATACCCAAAGCACCATCAATAAAAGCTGCTGATAAGTTGCACT